TGATGTCATCTACAAAATCAACTGCAAAGAGTGTGACAAACACTACATCGGACAAACTGGAAGGAAACTATCAACGCGGATCAACGAACACAGAATGGCTATACGGAGACACGACCGCATTCATTAGTTTCCATGCATGAGGACCAAGAAGGCCACCACTTCGATCTAGAGAACGTTAAGATCCTAGCCCGTGGAAATTCGAGGCAAGCTAGAGAATTCTTGGAAGCATGGTATTCTACCGACAGTTCAATAAACCGACAAGTCGAAATAGATGCTATATGTACAGCACTACGGATGAAAGATCCCCGAATTGGTAGAAGAAATCTAACGGAACAGAGCGCTAGACTACTGCATCAAACGACGACAAGCGATGTCACACGCGCGTACACTACGAGGTGAGAATCAGAGATCGATTTCTATGGTCACGTGCTCGTCGAACAATCCAAACTCAGACTAGCGGCTAGGAGATCGATCACTCACACTCACTGACGCTTCGTACGCGCCACTCCGTTCAATACACGCGCACTGAGGATGTCACCTCGAGTGGTGACGAAACGTTTGCATTCAACCTGCCGAGCTCAGCGAACAATCAGACAACCAGTTTACATATTTCTCTGGCACACCTTTCCTGAGTAAACAATTCCAAAGGGCACATCGATCAACCGAATCGAAGGCACCTTTGGTGTCGAGGAACATGACTACGGTAGGCCGCCAATATGTGACTTTGCTCCAACAGCTGACGCGATGCGAATAGGCAGTTGATGCATCCTCGACCTCGACGAAACCCGGCTTGCTCCTTACGAATCTGGCTTTCACGAGCGCCAGTCTGTGAAGGATTATGTAGGCGAGTACTTTGGAGGCGATGGAGATCAGACTGATTCCTCTATGGCTGCCGCATTCCGAACGCGAGCCTGCTTTGAAGATGGGAACGATAACGGAGCGGCTCCAGTCGGTTGGGACAGTTTCCTGCTCCCATAGTTTCACTAGTAATTCATGTAAATCATCAACAAGAACAGAGCCCCCGAATTCGAAGAGGGCTGGCTGAAGATCGTCTGGTCCCGCGGCTTTGTTCAACTTCAACAGTCCGATCTCACGTTTGACTTCTGAACGAGAGGGTGGATCCAAAGGGACAGCCCACGAAGCAGTGTGATCACTGGCCGGGAAAGAATCGGACCATTCTGGCCGATTAAATTGCTTTTCAAAATGCTCATCCCAACGCTCCAAACGCTTTGACAAATTGTGGATAGGCCGTCCACTCTCATCACGTATGGTTTCACAAACACCAGGTCTCCTGCTGCCTGTTTCCCCTACCAGACGGAACAACTTACGATGGTTACCAAGGGCAGCGGCCATTTCCATATCTGACGCACGAAGAGACCACCAAAATTCGCGGTCTCTCTTGAGGCTAGCACGGAGTTTCGCCCGGAGCTCTTTGCGAGTTTCATTGTGTTTGCTTCCAGCCGGAATATGCCAACGAGCATCGATAAATTCCAGAGACCGCAAAGAGATCCATTGTCCATGTTGGCTATTACACTTACCACATGAGAATTTTCCTGCTGCTAGTAAGGTTTGGTGAACATGTGACCAGCGACCACCAGTTGTCTCCCGTGAGCGCTTACTCAACTTGCATGACAGCGTACTTTGATAGGCATTCAGAACACCTGGCTTTGCCAGTTGGCTGGTGTCAATGCGCTCACAGCGTCCTCGTGGGCGTCCGCCAAAACGCACCCGCAGGTCAGCACATACAAGTGCAAGATTAGTGTTCAAACATGTGCTCCAGACCGAGCGACAGTTCTGGATGCAGCCTCTCTAGCGGTAACTGATAGCAATGTGATCGATCTGCGTCCAGGGCTGCTTCGAGGCTGTTGGGCGCCAAGTCACCCTCCGGCGAGTGCTGTGTCCGAAATTAGTGCTCACAATAAATAAGCGGGCATCTTCACACAAATGAAGTAACCGCTCACCGTTATCATTGCGGGAGCCTACACCGCGCTGACCGCCCAGATGCATTTCATCAGTGGACAACTTTCTAGCTTGTGCGTTCAGATCCCCCGCCAGCACAACAGTATCCATGCTTCTTCTGTGGTGAAGGTGCGTGGTCAGTTGGCGGTAGAAATCGTTCTTTACCGAATCATCGCTACAGTTTGTGGGCGCGTAGGCAGCGATGATGAATAGACACCTGTTTGTCCCGCGCGACTTCGAAGCATTGAACGAGTCAGCCAATCGGACCGCACACATCCGGCTACTGATTGGAATCCAATCAACCAGAGTAGATTCAGCCCGGGGACTCAGGGCAATGCCAACACCAGCTTGGCCGGTGCTGGAAGCTGCATCGTCACCGGATTGGCGCAATGGGAAGATACTGCTTGCGTCAACTGAAGGGGATCGCAAAGTGAGCACAGAGCTCGAGTGTTGCAGTCGGGTCTCCGATAAGCAGCCGATATCGATCGAGAGGGACTCTAATGTTCGGGCAAGTGCTGCCTGTTGACCGATCTGTAGTAGTGTGCATACATTGAGGCATGCACTCTGAAGGAGGACCGAGGGCTCCAAATGGAAGCCGATGAACTGGAATGGACCGCTTGGTTGGACATGGGCTTGTCGAGAGGAGAGGTGTGACGCTCCGCGTTAGCATGTGAGTTGAAACTAGAAGATAAACGCCTAGCAAAGCATGTTGGGAAGGGCCAAGAATCGGGGGTTGAAAACTGGGGGATAAAAGTGAAGTTGGAAGGGGACGGTAAGGGTGAAAAAGCGTAAGAGAGGGAATAAGAAGGCGGGAAGGCTTGGGCAGTAGCATCCAAACCCCTATCCACCCTTCTCGATGCAGCAGATAGGGCACCATTGATTATCCTCTACGGTGGCCTGTGCATCAAGAAATTGTTTGACGAATGATTCATTGTCTACGGCAGAGAGTTTCGCGCATCAGTTAGATGCTCTTGGGTGGCAGTACCAAACCTTCCCCTTTTCCTAACCGACTTGTATCTTTAACTCTCTCTTCGTTTTTTAAAATTTTCTTTTCACACCTTGGTACTATCATTATTTAGCTGACATTCCTCCTCTTGTTTTCTTAGCTTACCCTTCACTCTTTTACTTCACATAAACCGGCCTGGCAGGGACTGCTGGGTAGGAAAATGTGGGCAGTAATTGGTTGGACAGGGTGTGATGCGATCTTTGTTTTAGGCTTTTCAACATCTCAAGCAGACCTTTCAATTCCCGATCCGACGACACGCAAAAGAAGGAACATTCACGGGATTATCCTATCGTTCCGGTCCCAACTGAACTTGAACTTGACCGATTGGTAGAGCAGTTGATGATTCAGTAGTTGTAGCAATGCTGCCTAAGACTACATCGTCAGCGTATTTACATCTAGTAAAGTTGGGTGGAACTTGAAGCATTTCGATGTATTGAGAGAAAAGAAGAAAAGAGGATTGTTCCCTGTATTACACCCCATTCATCACTGTTTGGGACTTTTTACCTTTTAGCTGGGTAAAACGAGATCGGTTTACGAAGTAGTTGCTCATCAGGTTGCACACTACTGGTTGAGCACCATTCGCAGACCGCTGCTTAAGCAAGCTTGATCTGTCGACACTGCCAAAAGCATTGACGTAATCAAGGAAGAGGAGCCGCACATTGTTACATTTCGCATCCAATGAAAAGTCTATAGAGCGAACAAGATATGCTACGGCATCCAACATGGATGGTCGGGTTCTGTATGTAGACTGAGATACGTCCACTTCTGGTGTGCTTATTGTGATCCAAGGCACAAGTAGTCGCTCGAAGACTTTCAGCATGACGCATGTACAGGCGATCGGACGGAATTTCATGGATTTCTTCTTTGGCAAGGGCCTTATTCTGACAGGCCTCCAAATATCGGAAGTAATTCCGCTGTGTAGATACCGATTAGAATGATCCGTCAAAGGGCACACACTTTCAAGATAACTGGTGAAAGAGCATTGGATCCACTAGCCTTTCCTTGAGTTCAGAATCCTGAGTTCTGTTAATCGTCCGCACATTCCCTGTTTATTTTTGGCGTTTTTTTCGTGTTAAAAAGTCTACGTCCCCTGACTTTCCGTCATAATTGTCTAATATCACAGTTACACTGGTTCAGACCTAATACACTTGTTTGATTTGCTTTTCTTTTATTCTGCCGCATATTTGCCTTCCATTTTGCCTGTTTGTTCTCTTTCATATTGTATATTTGTTGTTTGATATTCCCCGTGTGGTTGCACTTGGTGTGAGTGTTGACAAGGTGCAAAAAGACGTCTACCTTGATTATACTGTCTCCAGAAGATAGTTGTTCTTTGGTGGAGTCGGGTTGCATGGTCCTGGTGATCGTGCCAGGCTCAAAGAGAGTGGTCCCAAGCATCCAGTGTGGAACGGGCTACGGTCCAGCCACTGCGTTTTGTACATCTTGTACGCATGATTCCTACACATAGATCGACAGGAATACTGCTAATGTGCATGTTGAAAGAGTGTGGGCCGGCTCCGTTGATGAAACGGGACTCCCATCCACATATCTCTCGCTTCTTATTCCTTCGCGTTTACACTAGATATGGAGTGTGTGGGTGGTATAGCACAAATCACCTATGGTCCCTCTGTAGGCGCAGGTCTCCTGGGCCTGTTCCCATGGAGGCCGCAGTGACAGGCAAATCCGGAACCTGATACCCCCAACCATATAAATATGTGTAAGTAGGATGTGTATCGACCCATCACGTTCATTGACGCTGTGCTTTTGGAAGTCGTTGGAGTATACTGGCTGACCATGGGCATGCATATCGATTCAGATGTTTTACGTTTATGTCTTGCGTTCTGTGCTCAACTCCCCTTTCATACCCGTTTTTCGACACCATACTTTTTCTCCTGCTAACTTCTCTCACATTCTTTTACTGTTGAATGGCTGCGGAAATTCAGCACTAGACGATAGTGTATCGCTGATGCTGGTAACTTATCTGTCACTCTACTGGGGCCCTTATCGATATTCTTAGTTTATCTTTCTGTTCATTTCAGCTGCTAGCACTGCATTTATGGTGGATATTTATTCGTTCTGATCTTTAGCAGATCCGTCTTTGTTCATTCCGTCATGCGTCTACTTATCTTGGACAATCCGGCTGAGGTTGGCGAATGGGCAGCCAAGTATGTGATGAAACGGATTTTGAATTTCGCCCCATCGGAAAACCGCCACTTCGTACTTGGACTACCTACTGGATCCACCCCGTTGATTATGTATAAACATCTGGTGGACTTTCACAAAGCAGGCCAGCTGAGTTTTCGGTATGTGACCACTTTCAATATGGACGAGTACGTTGGGCTGCCACACGAGCATCCGGAATCATACCACTACTACATGTACCATAATTTCTTCAAGGTTAGCTGGAGCGTAGAGTTTTTCTGCGTTCAGGTGCATTTTACTAGTGACTTACAAACGCATATGTACAACCTATCCTCAGTAGTTTTGGACAGAGAGCAACCGGAAAGCAACTGTCGTATTCATGTTGAGGCCCAATTCGAAAGGCACCACCACCACTACCACTGGCTTGTTGACCTCGCGTACGGTGACATGATGGCCCCTGCTGTCTAGATAACCGTCACCTCAAAGCCTTGTATGATCTAGAGAACAGAGACATGTTGGTTTTAAGACCAGATAAGGATACTCGGGTTGTTATGAGTAGGTCAGATTATAAAAGCAAAATGTAGTATATTATGAAGAAACACAAAAGCGGAACCACGGTAAATCAAGTCGAAATGGGGGTGACCAACCGACTAACATTGGTGTTTCAGCACAAGGTTATAACAGAAACGGTGTACAGCGCCCTTAAACCAATTGGTGCATGTATCCGTCAAATGTACGGCCTGCCAAAGATTCACATGTCTAACACACAATCAAGGCCGATATTCTCCGCACCACTAGTTAGCAAGTTGACAGGCGTACACCAGTGAGACAAATGATAGCGACTCGAGTGTATTTTTGCGTGCATGCGAGTTTCATTCCCCATCAAATATTAACTATCGCCTCACTCGTTCCGAAGACCACCCGTCCGTCGCTCTTCTGTCACGCATTTTTGTCTCTTCCCAGATCTTGGGCACAGCTTACATAGTATACTAGCATCAGTCTACACAATAGGCATTGAGTCATTCAAAACCTTGGAAATTTAACCGGGTACAGGAATATGTACAACGATGTAAAAAGTTGTGACAAATCAAAGAGGAAAACAATTTTTTCGCACGCCGCTTCTTCCATTTTTGTCACTTTTAAAGGGGCTAGTATTTTTGCACTTGGAAGTTCACGCGCATTGTTTCCACTACAACCGGTTTTGTGCCATTACTTCAAGTGTTGTAAGCCATCGGCATTCTTTATCTTTCAGTCCCCAACCGGTAAGGCGTACCGGTCCAGCGATTTCATACTTTGTCGCTAGCTGGTCGCCTGACCCCACGTGGCCTCTTCCAATGCAGCCATGTGTGCACAAATATGCCGTGGCTTGGTAATCGCTCTCCAGACATGCGCAGAACGTGGTCAAACGAACTCAACTGACGCCATAGAACAAGCTCACAGAGCGGGTGATCCACTTTCCAGCAAAAATGTTCACACTGCTTCACCTGGCGCCTACCCAATTTCTCAGTGGCATGAACCCAATTTGATCACATTGTCATCAGCCACAGGTAGCGCACATCAGTCCAAGAGTGTCGATCAATTTGGAGCACACACCTGGATTCCGACCATGCTCTAATGTACCCACGCGTAGCGCTCACTCTTATTGCTTCAGAGAAGCACCCAACTTCTAAGCTTCTTATCTGTAACTGGAACTCACAGTCTGCGATACAACTGTACCATAACAAACTGGCCCACCAATTTTTAGTAATGAATTCGATTGCTGCGCCGATCGCTGACTGGGATCATTTCAAGTGTGCCATGGTTAATGCCTTTGACGCATGCTGTGTACTCGACTTAAGGCGTCGTAACTGTGTATGGAACTCTGCGGTATCGGTCATCTTGATGGAGGCACGGAAACAGATTTGATGAGCACTTGATTTCAGCGTATCCGTAACTCCCTGAAACGACGTCTGACAAGGAATCTTCGAGTTGACTGGGAACGTTGGTAGATGGCGAAGGCCCATGAGATGGAGAAAACCAGCGCTTTTGAAAACAGCTGAGTGCTATTCCAGCTCATCCGGAACACGGGTCCGAGAAAAGCATCAGTTAGCGAGGTACTGGCTGAGAAATATGGACACTTGATCCATTCTCAGCTTCGTCGACTAACCCGTTAAGCGGGACATTTGAGGATCAGTTCAGCAGGCCTGCTCCAACACTGCCGCTTGCCGAATCAACTGGACCTACATGGGCAAATGTCACACCTCACACTTTGAATGAGATTCGACATGTGCTCGCCGTGTTAAAACGAAACAAGTCTCCAGGACCCGACGACCTTCCTCCATCTGTGCTGAAAGATGGCGGTGACTGTTGACTGGATTTGATTCTCTTTTTAACACGATTTGCGACACTAAATAAGTGCCTTCATACTGGCGACTTTCAACTGTTATGCCAGTCTTCAAGTAGGGTCAGAGTACTTTGTGCGAAAATCATCGAGGCATTAGCCTTATTACCATTCACCAAAACTTCTCACGAGTATTATTGTTGTACAAGTTACTGGTCCCCGTAATAACCGAATCCCTGAAAGCCATTGTGGTTGCATCGACTACATATTTACTGTTCACCAAGTTTTAGAGCAGAGACACATACAGTTGACCGGCTATGGTGGTTCTCCTTGACTTGAAAGTCGCCTTCGACTCTGTTGACCGCGCCAACTTGTGACACTGCCTATCCGTGAAAGGAGTCCCAACTAAATTGCTTTCCATTCTGAAGTCCCTCTACCGGTTTTCCCGAGGCCGTGCAAGGGTCTACGGAATAGGGTCTACTGCGTTCCACACGACAAGTGGGGTTCGCCAGGGTTTTCCTATATCTCCTTTCCTCTTCAACTTTTTTATCGAAATGATCATGAACGACTCTGTTCTCTCAGACTACTGGAGTGGATGTTCTCTCCGGTGACTTACTGACAAATCTGGAATATGCGGACGATATAGCTCCTCTTGAGTTTGACGCAGAGGCTATTCAAACACTGCTGGAGAGACTGAAGCGTAGCGCTACACGCTTCGACATGTGCTTTGCACCTTCAAAGTGCAAAGTGCTGTTGCTTGATTGCGCCGACACACTTCCGGTTCCAACTTCCACTGAACAACCGCTTGAAGTGGTGCATCGTTTCACTTACCTAGGTAGCGGTGTCATCTCTGATTGTCACATCACTGGGGAAGGTATTTCGCGTATCGGCAAGGCCCGTGTGGCTTTACAGAGGCTCAACCATCTATGGAGACGGCGGAATATCAGCTTGTCAGTGAAAAGTAGGATGTATAACGCTGCGATAAGGCCAGTGCATCCTAGACCTGGTCAGTTCGCACTGAAGACATGAAACGCTTGACTGTTTGACCACCGGTGTTTGCGAAGTATTGCTCACGTTTGGTGGGAACACCTGGTGAGCAATGCTGAGGTCCGCCAGTGGGATTTTGGCAAGAGACCTTCTGGCACCTCTCTTGAATGTTCGATAAATTTTAGTCGATTGCATTGGCTAGGCCATATTCTTATACCCGTTGACCCGCTTCCGCGTCGTGTATTATACGCCATGGTCACACCAAGTTGGGCGAAACCTCTAGGTGGCCAGTCCATGACCTGGTATACTCTCATGAACAAATTGACTGAGAGACTTGGTCAGGCTGCTGCGTGCCATCTTCTTGGATGTGAGCCTCGGGACTGTTCTTAGCAATGGTTGGAATCCGTGTCAGACACGGCGTAGCCAAGAGACCAGTGTCGTGCCTGCATTTGTCTTCTTTCATATGATTGTTAACTTCCGTGCCATTCTGCTTAGTCCAACGCATTTTCTTCCTGTGTTCCTTTTCTCTACATTCTATTTGCACCCAACCCCACTATCCTTTCGGTTTTGTTTATTGTTATTCTTGCCGTGTGAGTCGTGACAACCGGATTCACTGCACTTTGGTGCTCTGGTCGTAAGTTGATCAACTGAACTGAGCTTGCAAATGATGCGTTGCCTGGTATCAGCTTACGTAGTGCTAAATTTATATACTGTTCATCCGGTTGTACTCTCCGATTACGATATCCCCAGATCTGATTCTCTCAGCGGTAAGCGTTCAGTGGGAAGGCCTAAAGACTTACTGATCTGTGTAAACGGCACTTTTTCAAGACAGCATTATTGGGACACATTATTTTGATCTAACTTCGCCAGTTCCCCACAAATGGGGCACTCGGTGGGTCGGTTACCCAAGTCGTCCGGACCCAATCACATACACCACTAGTCTAACGCGCTAGCCACTGTGCTCCGTGGAAGGAAGTCACACTGAATTTCTGTGCCTGACTTGGTCCATAACCTGCGGCTTACTTAGTTACCTTAGTGTCGTAATTTGTCTGTAATTTCCATGTAAAGCAACTTCAACACCCTATTCCACGACTCCACCTGTCCACTTTCCATCGACAGTTGCCTAGATCACCTTTGTACACCAACTAATAATTACGACGTATTTTACACTACCCTGTTGGGAACGAGGATCATTATCCATTGCTCGTGTGCTTCAGTATTTTTCTTGCACGCTTTTGTTCACATTTTGCGCAATTAAATGATTAGGACTAATATCATCGACCAATTCTACTAGAATTCATGTGTTAGCTGTGACTTCACCGTTTTCCTCTTGAAAGGGACAAATGCCAAGTTGGTTCTTTCCCATGACTTCGCATTTTGGTTTGCTGGTTGTATGTGGCCGGTGCCCTGCTTTTTGCGATTAGACCAGATGAAGCCGATCTGAACGCTTATTTCCGCTTCAGCGTCTCCTACTTCATAACATTTCTGGACCGGATAACGCCACCCTGGGGATACTTCGGTACAATGATAGGCTTTGTCGCATCCACATGTCTTGTTTCCTACCTGATGCCATTCGCTTTGTTTCGGAAGCTTTGTAGCATGAAAAAGCCGGATCCATCACTTGTTAGTTACTACCCGTTCTTCTTATTCAACACTTTTAGCCGCTCGCTTGCGTCCGTGTTCAGCATTGCTTTGAATTCAATAAACGGCGTACAAGACATTTATTTATGAACGCCTAAACTCTTTCCCTTTTCCAAAGCATATAGACATACTTCCAGAAAACGCGCACATTTTGGATGGCACTGTCACTGATTTAGACGCTGAATGCGCCCGTTTTGAGGAAAAGATTAAATCCGCCGGAGGCGTTCATTTGTTCATCGGTGGAATTGGAGCAAGTGGTCACATCGCATTCAACGAGCCTGGCTCAAGTCTGGTCTCGCGAACCCGG